TAGTCTATTGTTCATTGGTGATCATGAACGTCTCTTTACATTTAATTTATGAAGTTTACGTCTACGGGTGAAGTTGACTGCGAGAATGTTTCAAAATTAGGAAGAGAAGCAGTGATTATTTGATTATATAGACGCTTCGCCTCTGCCAGCACGTAATTGTTAAATTAAATAGATACTTCTTTTCAAGACATACCCCTGCACAAACGACCATTCCCCCCCCCCCCCCCCCCCCCCGCCTTTGCGTCTTTTTCTATCTATAGTATAATAACACTGTTTAAGACGTTCACCAGTATGGGACAATCACTTTTTACCTCCACAATAAGTCTTGGACAATTCGTCTGGGTCCGTGTCTGTCTGTTGGGATACTACGTCTGTGGACCGTGTTAGAAAGACGTGCGCAAAAGTGTGGTTTTGATTAAATTAGGTAAACTTGTTGTGTTTTAGGTGTATGGTTCAAACCCCCTGTTCTTATTATGATTATTATTTAAACAATTAACTTCAGACTAAAGTAAAAGAAAACGTGTCGGAATCGTAGTTTGCAGTAGCCGCAGAAGCCGTTATTTTTGGATTTTTAGATTCCATTGGTCATCCCACTTTTAGACCTTCAAAAAAAGACCCGAGAAGATTAAACAGAACGATTTGTTTTATTCGCGTTTTTCACACAAAAAATGAACGAACTATAAATAAATGTTGATTACGACTAAACGTTAGTCTAATTGTTGATTATTGATATGACTGAGCATTAGCCATCTTTGAGTCCCACATAGTCTGGGATGGCCCAACAGCAGGATAGTTTAGCAGCCCGCCTCTTGTAGATTCTAAATAGTCTCAGATGTTTCGATCGTGGCTTGAAACAATGTATCTAACTACAGTCACAATTATCTGTCTTTAACGGCGACTATGGTGTCGAGGTTAGGCTTCTCGTTGTCTTACACACGAGACTTGAATTCGCTTCTCGTGTGAGGAACATTTTCATGGAATTTCCTACTTTCTGCTGGGACGTTGCATGCCTCTCAGCCTTAGCTGGCAGGTTCGAAGCAACCAGTCCCGAATCCTAAATCATCTTGATAGTGTCGTTACATTTTCTTACAATTACCACCTGTCCTTATTTAGATATCTAATATGTTCAGACATGTCTTCAAGAGTCATCTTTAAGTGGACTTGTAGACTCTAGATCTCCAGTTGTTCAGTGGTACAGAAGGAGTTTTAAAAAACCCAAAGGATGTAAGTAACATTTTGGCAACAATAGAGTTCTTAGTAACACACATTAGGAGGAGACTACGCAGCTTAGAATTTGAATGGAATATTTTTAAGGCTTTAAGTAAGAGTTATGGCCTTTATAAATTACCCATTTAAGCACGAGTTATGGCTTTTATAAATTACCCAACCTCGGCAGTGTGTCATGCGTAAGTCTTGCTGGGTTTTGTTGTTGTTGTTGTTGTTGTTGTTTTTTTCTTTCATTCCTTTTCATTTTATCTCAAAACGACCCCAAGGTGACGTTGACCCTTTATTTTTGGCCCCCGTTCAATTCACGCGTTGACACAAGACCTCGCGGATTCACGAACCCCCACTTCTCACCACACATAAAGACGTCACACGCACCACTCACCGACCTCCCACCCAACCATAGACTTGTCCAATCACGTGTTACGCCATTTGTGTCTGTCAAGGTCAACTCAACTTTCAGTTTTAGGAGAAAGAGGCAGGGAGAAAGTGCATTCGGTGTTGCATTGACGTTGTCTTGAGGAGGTGTGTGTGTGTTTATGTGTGTGGTGTCTTCCTTCACTTTTTGTGTTTCACCGATTTTTCTGAAACTGACCATGCAGGACTACGTAACTGCTGGCATGCAGAGTGCAGAATACGTCCAACTGGCTGACTCTTTATTTTGAAGTGCTTTCTGACGTCATTTCTTTGAGTGTGTACCCCCCCCCCCCCAAACCCACCTGAGTGTGTTTTGATGTTACAATATCTTAAAAACATAACGACAAGTACTAGATCTAAATCGAAATTATAATATAAATATAAATCATAAATTCCACTTTATTGACTCCGTTGATAAATGTAATGCAGAAATAAAGCACGGTATCATTAGTACAAAAAAAATCACTCGCCATTGCTGGTCGCAAATGTGCTATATGTTTATATAGGGCTATCGTGTGTTATTCAAGAATCCATCCCAGTGTCTTTTGCATACTAACTGCGTCCTTTTTTTCCCGGCACTACTAATCTAGATCTAGAATCTAGTACTTGAATTCGCAATTTTTGCGATTTTAAAAGAAATCCGTGAATTCAAGTCGTTCTCGAAATGCGAGCGCGACTGTATTGGGACTCAAATATGGATCTATATATAAACATGACCTTTGGGCTACTCCAATAGTGAACTTGAAAAGTTTGTGAAAAAAGAAATATACAAAACGCGAATATTGAATGCTATCTTTTGTAAAATTTTGAGATCTGAAGAGAGTGTGGTTTTTTCTAATAGGTGACGCAAAGTTCGATACTATCAGACATTATGTACGTAATTGTAATTATATATGTAATAGAATCTACTATGCCTGAAAACAGCACATATCTCAGTTATAAAGTGATCTGTGTACGCTTCACTCTATAATAACCTGTTATCCCCCACCCCCCTCCCACAACCCCCCGACAGACCTTGTAACATTCCGGAACATTCTTGGTTTCAGTATCGTGTTGAGCGTTCAGTGAAAGTTTTATCCTCATAGAAGCTTTAGCAACAATTTACCTATAAGTTGTTGGTTGTTTTTTTCTAGATCGTTCACTGTTGCGTAACCGGGTGTCTATGCTCGCTTGTGACTTCCTGATTTCACAATCTATCTTATCCCCTGCACCGTTCGTGTTCCAGCCCAATGTTCTCCTTTGCATCATGTACTTATTTCATAATCCGAAGAAGGTAGCCCCCACCCTCTCCTTTTCCCCCTCGACAGTCCTTCAGACTGAGAGGAAAAGCGTCCCCCGCTCAATGAGAGCAATTCTAACCTCAACCAGGTTCGAACTCCAAACATCCAACTTTAACGTACAAGCCAAGTTAAAAACAGCTATATATTCCACAGTGGTCGAGAGAACAAACCTCTAGGGATAACCCGAGTCCGTGGTGTAGCGGTTAAATGCTTCGCTATCGCACGCTGAGGATCAGGTCGTGTTCGCTTCCCGTGTGGCATGAATTTTTACTGAGCTACTGGGATGTTGTACACCCCTCGAAAGCTCCTATATTTGAAAATACTAGAATGGAAAGACAAAACAAAACAAAACTACCCCCCTCCAACAACAACAACAACAACAACAACAACAACAACAACAACAACAACAACAACAACAACAACAACAACAACAACAACAACAACAACAATAAACAACACTTGTTGAGTGATTCGGAAAGAAGCCTTTCCTAAGTGTGATCAAGTCTTGAAAAATGCGACCCCTAGCCCACGTCATAACTCTCGAAATCATGAAGAATGAATATTCATGAAGTAACTCCACCTGTGACCGGAGAGCAATGTGACAACGCTCCGGCTCTTACAACTCGCGGGCAATCAATGTCGTCCCCCATGGCTGTGTCCCTGGGATAGATCATAACATTATTCTAATGGTTTCTCTAAGGAAACTTAGGGAAGTATAGAAATGTAATCTATTATTACAATTCTTTTTAAAAAATGTATCATCACCATGGCCCTTAATCCTAATGCTTTATATAAAGCATCAAAGGCTTATCACAATATTTTCTCGGTCCTATCGGATAATTATGGACTGCGCAACTTTGGAGATTTGCCTCATAATCTGCCCTACAACCTGGTTCAGTCCGACGTTGTGTCCTTGGGAAAGACACTTTACGCGAATCTCCCATTTGGCTAGGTCCTTTCGGAGATGGACGTTTTACTCGTAGCCCCCCCCCCCCCCTCTAAAATACTCTAGTAGTGTTGATAAGGGCGTTAAACCTATACCTTTTCACCATTCCAGTATTAAAAGGGGCTTTAAAAACCTTACAATTAAATCAATTATCACTCCATCCCACCCATCCCCCCAAAAAATAAATAATAGATATAAGTTATGAGATTTTTGGTTTGATTGTATGGTTTTAAAGCCGCTTTTAATATAAATTCAGCCAAAAAATATTTCTGACATCATTAAATATCTAGTTTACTGTTTATTCATCGTTTTCCCAGATGCTGACTTTCATACGGATGACGTCAGAGCTGCTCCACATCGCTCTCCCCTAGACTGCCATTTCAAAGTCCCGAGGAGAAAGTGAAAACGTCTCTGTGCGTCTCTCTGTCTCCCTCTCCCCTCTCTCTAACTCTCAACTTACTCTCTTTCACTCACCCCCACCTCTCTCTCTATCTCTCTTACCTCTCTCTCGCTTTTTCTCTCTCTCTCACCGTTTCACTTTCTCTCTCTCTCTCTCCTCTCTCTCTCCCCTTCTCCCCCATCTCTCTTTGCTTCTTTTTGTCCCTCTCTCTTTCTCTCTCTTTCTCTCTTACCTCTATATTTCTCTCTTTGTATCGCCCTCTGTCTTTCCCTCTCCTGTCTACCGCACCCATTCCCTCCTCATCTCCTCGCTCCTCTCCCTCCTAATCTCGTTCCTCCTCTCCCTTCTCTCTTCTCCCCTCCTATTACGCAAGCGCGATATGCCACCAAAACGCATCTACCACCCCAGCAAGGAGGACCCCACCCGCTACCACTATGTCAGCTCCGATGACGACAACGACGGATCTTACGTCAGCTTCACACACGACGTCTCCAGACCCCTCCTCTCGGGAGCCCCCACGTCGTTCGAAACGTCCTTCCCACTAGAGGGCGCCGCTGTGTATGACGTCACCGGGGCGGCGGCGGGCACGAAAAACGCCGCCAGACTGCCGCCAGATGGCGATGTGTGGGGTGTCGTACGTGAACGTGTGGACAAGCCAGGTCTGTCCGAAAACCCGTTTTCGGTACCTAACACTCACCAGCACAGCCCTGATTCTGTCCAGCAGCTGCTCACTTCACAGAGCATACTTCTCTCCACACATTCCACCATTGAGACCGAAAACTTCGAGCATTCAAAATGCAGGTGAGTCATTTCGAGTAGTTACTGGATTTCTTTTTTTTTTCTGAACTATCTATGGTTATCTATTGATTTGAGTCAATTTAAATGCATGTGAGTCGCACGTTACAGAGCTTTTCCCCCCCGTTCTCATATTGCATTAATATATAGATTGGTAAGTGACCAAACACAATGTACTTTTATTTTCTCCGAAACTGAGTTAATGTAATAATATTACCATTTAGTTGCCTTTGAGTGAAGGTGGGTCGTCACATGGTAAAGAGCATATTTTTTCCATCACCAACTGAAGTAACTATAAATTGTTGAAGGGACTTAAAATTCATTGTTCTTCGACTTTTTTTCCTCAAGCTGAGCTATATATACTTGTTCACTATATCGTGTGTCCGCTTTAAAAAAAAAGTAAATTTGCTAGTCTGCACGTAACTTTTGGACAGCCACCAAACAAAAGCATAATTTTTTATAAGAATCTTGATCCAGAAGTAAAGGTTTTTAAAAATGGGCTCTATAAAATGAGAACAGCCCCCCTTGCCTGCATTTACATGATCACTACAATAAATGCATTTAAGTAAGTAACATAGCCTACGAATTATTCTACCTTTTTAACACAGATTTTCCCACACGACTGTCAAAACACGTCACCACATCAGTCCCGCAAAAAAACAATAAAAAACCAAACCAACTCACCTGTCTGTGGATCGTGTTGGACAGACGTGCGTTATACTAAGTTATAGTGTGGTTTTGATTAAAATAGGTAAACCTTTTGGTGCTTTAGGTGTATGGTTAAACCTCCACTATTATTATCATGATTAAAAAAATAATAAACCTCAGGCTAACATCAAAGAAAACGTGTCGGAACTATAGGTTTTAGTAGCCTTCATTTTTTGGTCTTTAGATTCTATTGGTTATCCCACTTTTAGACCTGCAAGCATGAAAAGACCCGAGAAGAATAATCAGAACGATTTGTTTTGATCCAGCTTTCACAGCGGGTAGACAAACAAAAGAAGAAACTATAACTAATTGTTGATTATGACTAAACGTTAGTTAAATTGGTGATCATTGATATGAATATAATTAAACAGTAACACCCTTGACCTGGCAATGTCCAGCTAATTAGAATTCCCATCACTGCACTCTTCTTTTCTTCAACTGAGCTAAATGTTAATTGATGAAGTGACTAAAAAAGATCATATCTCTTTTTCATTCGCAAATGAACTAATTGTCAATTATTTAAGTAACAAAATAAACATTGTCACCTATGACCTGGTAATGTGCAGGTCTCAAAGCAACGAGTTTTTTTTTCTTCTCAAACTGAAGTAAAAGCTAAAAAAATGTTTGTTGGTTTTGATAAACATACGTATTAAAACAAAATCTTAAACTGAACTGAATATAGAAATTGGTGATGTGACTAAATATTGGACACCTAATATGTGATAAAATGCTGCAATTGTGATTGCACGTAACTGTGTTTTTTTTCTTTCTTGAACTGAATTAATGTTAATTGTTGCAACGACTTATTAACATAGTTGCTTCCTTTTTTTGTCTCCGTCCGAAGTGATTGCTTATTATTGGGATAATAATTATTTATAACAAAAACCTTAATACCTTTCATCTGACAAGAAAGATACAAATGAGTTGTCGCACGTCTATGACCTTCGTTTTTGTTTTGTTATAACTTTTTTAAACTAACCGAGTTGTTGATTGTTGATGAGGCTAAAACATACCGCTCAATGTACAGAAAAGGGATATAAAGGTCACGTTAAAAGATATCGCATCAGGTCTTAAAAGATAATATGGGCGGGTAGTTATCAACAAAACTAGTTCATCTCGTTTTTCGTAGTCTTCCTTAACCTTTTAGATACGTGTAAACTTTTGTGTGTGTGAGTGTCTTTTAGCTCTCATCAACACAACTCGGATCTTATAGGAGGCGGGACTCTGCCTATGAGGGCCAGCTCGGGTATAGAGGTATACAACTTCATAGAGGAATGGTCGAGATACTCGATAATAAGTCTTCCCATTGGAGAATCGAACTGGGGTCTCCTGCGTGCGTCGTCCAAGCGCCTAACCACTCCACCACATGTGTCGGTATAGTTTTTTTTTAACATTTCTTTTAACAAAGTGAGTAAGCAAGTTTATTCAGTGTTCAGACCATTGGCTCACATCACATCACATAAAACAATCTATTAAATAAAGTTTCAATAATAAAAAGTATAGAAGGTGCACATAATATCTCTTGTCACGGGTCAAACAAACATCGCATATTTCTGTCCCTGCGGTCCTATAGTCAGGCTGAAGAAGATTAACAATCTCCTTAGATTTGAAAAGTTTGGACAATATCAAAAATAAAGCGAAATCTATCTTTAAATGCATGACAGTTCCACTTATCACTTTAAGGTGAATTTATTAATGCCCATAAATTAAGATTGTTATTTAATGGAAGGCTATGCGTTTTAACAAGGCTATGAGACTTCGGTCGTACCACGTTGAACCTACAGATTCTCATCCTTTATAAGAAAGAAATCTTATGAGACGGGACACCTGAATTAATCACACCGCGCGATAAAGCTATTGGGTAAAGTAGATGGAGATCTAGATAAAACTTTCTAAGTAAACCAAGTTCAACAGCTGTCTGTTTTGCTTTGTCACGTTCACACAGTGTGGAAGCAGCCATAA